GGGGCCCCCCCCCCCCCCCCCCCCCTTGGACTGGATTACAACGCTTTTCCGGCTTCCAACCCGTCGAGATTGAGGAGTCCATAAAATGATCAGTCCGGTATCGTATCGTGGCCGATGCAAGAATAAAGAACCGCGTAGAAAGTACAAGCCCCCGTAAAACAAGTGCATTTTTTTTCATTTACCCCATGACCCATGACCCCCCCCCCCGCCCCCCCCGTCGCGGGTATTACCGCGAACGTCTTTGAGACCAACCGGTTTGCGCGGTCGATGCTAACAGACAAACACGCAGAGAGAGAGAGAGAGAGAGACAGAGAGAGAGAGAGAGAGAAAGAGAGGAAAGGCACACACCTTCTGACGATGTGAGTTTCCATGCAGCCTCTGCTCGCCGCATCCCACCGAGGACCCAATTTTAATCGACCTTCTGCTCCAGCGGGGTTCTCCGCTCTATTCAGAGGTGCAAGGTGCAGACCGACAAGGGCACACACGAATGGGAATACGGCGTTGGAGTGTGTGCTGAAATTTCGCGCCCCCGTTCGGTTCCTTGGTTCCTCAAAACCGTTCACCCCATGCACCGCTTTCGACACAATAGGGAACGCTGGCTACTAAGATACGGCAATCGTTTTTTTTCGTTATCTGTCCGTCACACCTTTCCATTTGCCTCAACCCCCCCCCCCCCCGCCCCGTGCCCGACCCCCCTCTCCCATGGCGCCCCCCTTCGCCCGAAAAATAAAAAAACACATCTGTCTGGCACACCTTCCCGTTTGCCTCGACTCCCCCCTCCTTCCCACCGAGCATAACCACGGCGCCCCCCTCGCCCGAAGCCACCCCCGCCGCCTCCTCGTCAGTGGGCCAATACGGTCTCGGGGCCTGCGGATCCCCGCCCGATCCCCAGGCCGGCTCTACCATCTGGACGGGGGTGTCGGACGGCAGCGGCGGAGGCGGCAACGACGTGGACGACTCGGGCTCCTGCTCCTGCTGCGCCCAGAGCTTTCCCGCGGCGCCCACCCTGTGCTTCTGCGAATCTCCCGCTGCTGCTGCTGCTGCTGCTGCTGCTGCTGCTGTTGCCGATGCGGAGACGTTGTTCTCGTCGGAGGAGGCGTGGTGCTGCTGTTCGTTAGTGGTGGAGCCCACCGAGGACGCCGAGTCGGCGTTCGACTGCTGCTGTTGCCCCGGCGGGTCGCTCGAGGCGGCGGCGGAACCTCCCGAGGCGGCGTCGGCGGCGGTGGCGGCGGCAGCGTCGGCGGCCTTGTGGTGGCTGCTATCTTCGTCCTCGGAGTCGGTCTCGTCTGGCGGCAAGTAGGTGCTCCCTGAGGCCGGGGGGGGGGGACGGGACGGAGGGGTTGGTTGCCATGTTTCTCGTGCACGCTTTCGGACCGAGGACGGCGGCACATGTAGCCGAGAGAGGAAGGAAAGCGAAAAAAAATTGATCTCTTGGGAAAAGGTGTCTCGACGAGTTGGAGTTGAGGTTTCTCAATGGCGGGGTGCTGCTGTGCAGAGTTCGGGGGGCGTATGTACTCGTGAAATTCCCATGCCCTGTTCACGTCCAACCATCGTGATAGCGCGGCGCTCTGAGGATCTTTTCTCCCGCCACACCCAGGCGCGCTACCTTTACCAGGGCGCCCTTCTTGTGGCCTCAGTCCTGCCATGTGGTGTATCTACGGCGCGGTCTCTGTCCGCCTTGGCCTTGTACCACACGCCACTCACCGATAGACTCCACCTCTTGAAACAGGTCTACGATGGCGGAGGGGTCGCTGGGGGTCACGCCGACTGCCGTGCTGCCCCGCCGTGTGTGCATCACCACCTTGTTCTCGTCCATCTCCACCTCGTGCATCTTGCTCCTCTGCGTTCGGCGTCGTCGCCATTTTTCGTTCAACACGGCACATCGCGGGCGAGGAAAGGGTTAGATAGATCGAGGGCTGCACAAGAGAGCTATGAATGGACAGGGACCGAAGAAACACGGGGTTGAATCAGCGGTAAGAAAACCGTTCGCCAGGTGGTCCGGTGATGGTTTTGCCGCAGATGGTAGATAGCACGGGAGGGAGTGCAGTGATGAACACACAGCGGTTCCAAAGGAAATTTCGGCCGAACCTGATGGGCTGTTGGCGTTCGAACCAAGATAGGATGGGGTGAATACCGTTGTAGTTTCTTCCTCTTCTCTCTCTATTCTTTGTTCGTATGCTGTCGATTCTTTCGCCAGGCGAAGAGCACCTCTTCCCTCTCTCGCTCACTCTCCTCATCATCTATCCATCAATCGATTTCCCGGAGGAGGCCGGGCGAGAACCTGACAGCTGCAATAATACTGCTTGTCAAAACGAGGCCGATTTTTGTCAGAAAATGTCGCCAAACAGCAGCTTCGGTTTCATTTTTCAACCATCCGAGTCGAGTCCAAAACATCGGGCTGTTGGCGTACAGGGCGAATCAACATGGATACAGCAGCAGCAGCAGCAGCAGCAACTGGTGACGCCATCAAGAGTGGTCACGCCACCTCTACCAGAGGGTCCAACAACGTGCAAAACTACTCCACCGCGGCGGCGGCGGGGCATTAGTCCAGGAGAGCAAGCCAGAGTCGTTGGTTGACGTGATGCATAATATATGTATGCATAGGGTACTACGTACTCTCCGCGAACACGTCCGTCCTCGTCCCAGCGCGTATATAAAAAAAAGAGCAAGAGAAAAAGCTCCCCCCGCTTGTAGGTGTAGGCGGTCTGTGGGTTCATCCATCATACGCCCGTTGCACAACTCTTACAGCACTACCACGCAAAAATTACATCAGTTTTTTTTTTTCTTCTCACCACAGCAGTACGAAGTAAGAAGTGGTATGATTCAACCAATCCATCTCTATCGAAAAGAAAAGAGTATTTTTTGTCGGAAAGGGAGAGGCAGCAAAAAAAATAAAGTAGACGTGAGAAACACCGACGACACTGGCGGCTAAAATATGTCGTTCCACATCTTCGGGCAAATACGTGAACCACTTGTATTGCTCAAGCACCCTGTGTTTCAAACAATTACCCAACCATTCCGCAAAGGAGCCAATCTAGTGGGTGTATGGTTGGGCATGAGGGGTAAACCAGGAAGGGGGTGAGGTCGCTCCTTTTACCGTAGGTATGAAGAACCAAGCGTGGAAGAACCAAAATAACCTTCGGTGTGCGGTATCATTCAGCAATACGACGATGCTATTATAGCTACCGGCCGCAGTTGTTCGTGCGCTTTGGTCTCCTGTATTGGACCGGCGGCTGTGCGCGTACCAGTCGAGATCAACAAGCTCCGTACCTCAATTTTCCTGGCACAAATCAAGGAGCCCTGAAAGCACGCGCTGCCCGTCGCTTCATGTTTCCGGCGGGTTGATGTGTGATGCGAAAGAAAACGCATGCAACAGCACCAAGCAGCAGCAAGCAGCACCAGCGGCGGCACACCTACGAATTTTTTAACTAAAGAGCGCGCTGCTTCTACGTACACCAAGGCCACAACCCCAGACATGTCACACGAGGATCCGCACTCACCTGTCTCAAATGCTTGGATGGGTCGGGTATACTTCCCTCAGACGTCTCCATGCTCAAAGCTGCCAGGACATCCTCTACCGCAGTGCGCTTCACTCCAGCTGATTCACCCCTGCTGGCCGTAGTTGCAGCCTGGACGCCATGCCCGAGCACCATTTGAATCTAGTACACAGCAGTCAGTTGTTCTTCTTGCCACTGCTGATCTCTCCGGGTGCCTTGGCTGTGTTGGTCGTGGGCCTCTATTGTGTGTGTGTCCTACTTTTGGTCCTCGAAGCAATGCCCACACACACCAAGCGAGAGAGTCGGGTGTGCCGCCGGCTACCGACGGGGGTGGGGGCGCCGGGAGATCGTGGAGAAGGGGTAGGCGGGGCCACGGTATATTCTACGTGTGGAAAATTCTGGGAAATTTGCTCATGGTTTTAGTATGGGGCTCATGGTAAGTCCGATTCTGTCTCGCCTCGTGCGACTAGGCGCGCCGGTAGGTTGTATGTCGGGGGGTTGCCTCCGTGCAGAGAAGATGGGAGAGAGAGAAGGCGGGAGAGAGAGAGCCTACAACGCGGATGATCCTGCTCAACGGCACGCGCAAAGTACGTCGAGTACACATGTTTGTACTTCGAAAGTATCCTACAAAGTACGCACATCAAGATGACTGCCGGTCTTCACAAAGTAAATAACGGTTCCGATCTCTGCTCACGTGTGTGGTCACAAAGGACTCACACGGACAAACACGATCGACACCGTAGCAGCAGTGCTGTCGGTGTTGTTGCTGTTGCTGTTGCTGTTGCTGTGGTTGTTGCCTCCAAATTGAAGCATCCTACCGGGTGCATCCGCAAACACAGCAGTCATTCGACCTCCAGGTAGGTGTAAGTGAGGACGCTCCGGCGGCTTGGTGATATCCGCCATTCATTCGTTCCTGTTCCATCTTGCACCGCCAAGTTCCGAGAAGAAAGACTCAACAGACACATTTCTTCATGACGCCGGTTGTCGGTTGTTCCTTTTTGGTTTCCCCGCTACAAACTAACGTTGTCGGTTGTCCTATTTGGTTTTCCCCGTTAGAAAAGTTGTGTTCAATGCGTACACTGGGCACCGGAGTGTTTCAGCAGACAGACAGAGAGGCTGTTCACAGCCTGTACATCGTGTCACACGTTCGCCGCTCACGATGAGTGTCTGTACCGAAGAAGAAGTAGAGGTTAGCGTTCATCGATCGTGAGAAGACAAAAGGGTGTATGTTTGTATGTATGTAGTAGTACTGAGATGCCGCGGGACACGCGCGGAATATTGACGATGACGGAGAACATGTGGTGTTGCTACACTTACTTATTATGCATACGGCAGATAGATGATGAGGTAGGTGGGACCTCGTTGCAGTTTAAGTCCATATATATTTCCGGTTGCGGTCTAGAGAAAAGAAACATATCAAAAACAGTTCGTGGCCCTTGTTTTGGGCCGACAAACCAGCCCAGTTATAACTCACGCTACACATGGGATTCGTTTGGATATACTCAGCTTTTCCACCACTCACTCCTCTGATTCGCGAAGTTCCATGTACGTGTACAAGTATGCACAGTTTTTCTATCCCTTCTTTCCAACTCCACCAAGGTTGTCCCTGAAACACCCGCTGCGCGAAATAGGACATGTTCTCATGTGGTGGCCGGTATTATTATTGCATACAGACAGCTCGTCAGGTGCTTCCACCCTGATAATGATACACAGAAAAACAGTGGTTCTGTGCAAAGAGGGAATCGTCCTCGACAGACGTTGGGGAGTTTCTACCTTCTTTATAAAGGTGGTCTCCACATTACCCCCCCCTTTTTTTCGAGACTTTTTCTTGTTTCCCAAGCAAGAGAAGAAGTCTTCTTGGGGTAACCGGAACCCGATCGGCTGGCGGCGGGGCGATTCACATTCTTCACAATCCTCTGTAGGTTTTTCGGATTCGCTACGTCCGCCACGATATCAGAAGTTCCGAGTTCTATAGCCAGTGCGTCCTCCCTTGGCCCACCCATCGTTTTTCTTTTTCCGTTGTCTGGAAGAAAATTTGCAACCAAAAGCAGACACCCTGACATCTCACGTCGACGCCATTGTGAAAAAAGGGAATCGTCCTCGACAGACGTTGGGGAGTTTCTACCTTTATGAAGGTGGTCTCCACAGTTCGATGCGATGAAAAAGAACCTCCAGATACGTCTCATGGATCCTGTGCTTTATTTAGGAGCAGCAGGAGCAGCTGAGTTTTGGCTCTTCTACCACTAACTGGCGTCGCGGCATCGATGGATTAATATGTACGTATCGCTGTTTACAAGAAGATACACTCCGTGCACATACATGCAGGCCACCCACGGGGGGAATAGCTTAACCGTGGCGCGCGCATCAATGTCAGGCGAAAGCTCCTATCGAACAACGCCGTTGTGGGCACAAGATGACTGTTGTTGTTGCTACAAGACGGCAGCTACACCAAAGTGCGTGTTTTGAGCGTAATGTGAGTGCGGAGAGGACTCCTCTCCCCCTCCCGGGCCCTACGAGCGGATACTCTGTTGTTGCAGCTTCTTCCTTGAAAAGGTTCCCAAAGTTGAAAGGTTCCCAAAGTTGCCCTTTGTGCAGGTTATATCATGCCCTACGTCCGTTGGCACCAACGCGTTCGATTGTGAACGTGTTTACGCTAACGCCAAATATTGGGTTCGATGACGATTCCCCCTTCCCCCTTCCAACAACCATAGGGTTAACCTTAGGGTTAACCTTAACCTTAGGGTTAGCAAACGGTCCGCCTGCGCCCCGTTGCCCTTCTTCAGGAAAAACGAAGGAACACACAACGCCCTGACGAAGACCGATCGGAACTCGGAACTAGGTGTATGTACGGTAGCACGTCGCGCGCTGTAGCATATCTCACTGATGTACCTCTAGTGGAAAACATATCGGTGCATCTTTGGTGTGGAAGTCCACACAAGGCTACGTCCAAGATAACTACGGCGATCATACGTTGACCGGCTCTAGAAAGTGGACTGACCTCTGCGTGCGATGCACGTGATTTCGAACCTGAGGGAACGCGGTCTGCGCACGGTGTCTCATGATTAGGGAGCAGACGGCTAGTGATACACAGAAACGAGTAATTTTGCTGCCTGCCCAGGTTGCGGGAAGGACGTGCCCGCGAGTTGATGTCACAAGTTTCTACGGCCGCAGGTGGACGGAAGCGAGGAATAAGCTGCCGGGACATCTACTAGAGGGCACGGTTTGAGAACACACTGTGATGTAAAGCAAGTACTCCCAAGTTTGTTGCCCTGGACTACCTCTATTCGCTGTTGTTGAATTGTTGTTGTTGTTGTTGTTACAGTTAGTTGCTGTTCTTGTTGTTGTTTTGTTTCAAAAATCGTTCCGGCAAGTGTTCAATACAAGTGTTACTCTCTAACATCCGCCTGGCCAAAGTGAAGCAAGTTTCCTTCCGTGGCCACAAGCTGTAACTACCCAGAGAGGGGTACCCTGTGCAAAACCAAAGAGAACATTTCATGATGCAGAACATCAGCTCGAGCGCGATAAAGTGCATTCCGTCCGCGTAGATACATTGCTGCTAATGACGAGACTCCACGTGACACCGGTCGTTTTCTTCTCTCACCCGGAAGCCACAAGTTTGGACCACAAGTTTGGACCACAAGTTTGAGTTCCCCCCCACGTCAGATGCATGCCTGTTTGAACTAAGAAATGCAGTCTCGACACCCAACTGTAATGTTCAATACCTACCATGCAATACCCACCAACGCCAAGGTTGTGAGGTCATATTGTGTGGCCCTTGCTTGACCCTTCGACGCCACCATTATTTCTCCTCTTGCTAGTTTACGGTACCATCATCGGTACCCGCCGGCAATCTTCCTCGCCTGCGTCTATTCGGTATCCTGTCCGTGTGCTGCAAACAACATATCAGCCACCAACTCTCAATGCGTGCAGAACAACCTGCCTATAGGGTCACCACCGGTCTTCGCCATCATCTGGCGAGTCGTGCTCAGGACCAAACAACAATTATCAACATCTCCAACTCTTCTCCGAAGGATTGGGGTAGTATGAAGTATGAAATATAGATCTCCACAGCAAGCGGAAACAAACATGGCCTCCAATAGACATGATGAGTTCTCTTCCTGTTGTGGATATCGTCTGAGATACCCTTGACAAGTGGGCAAGGCTGTGCCTCTCGAAGTTACTCGAGATGGTTGGCACCGCGAGCGGTTGAAAAGCAGACGTAAGAGTACTTCTTGTGCTTTGTAGAGACGTATTGATATGTTGAATACTGGCGCTTAGTTGGCCAACACACGCAGATAGATCCACAGAGAACGCAGAAGTCCAGATGACGGCAGTTCCTAGAGATGACCAGGAAAGCTAGGAGCCATGACTATCCAGAGAAGTCCATGCGAGAGATTCATGCGAGAGTGAGAGACACGCAATCCCTCGAGCAGAGAATGCTACAGCAGTAATTCCTCCGCATACTGATGCGTTACGTGTGAACCGAAACATACAGTATCTACGATGCATGATCTACGATAGAGAGGAATGCTACAGTAGTACTGAACATTGACTAGTACAGGACATGAGCCAATATTTCCATATCACTCTCCCTCAATGAAAGTTGCGTTGAATCTAAGAGGAAATATAGTAAAAGAAACAAATCCGTTTGATGCGTCAATCACTAAGATAACTAGCAAATACATGTATGTATGTGCTTGCAGAGTACTGTTCCTGTCTTCTTGCGCTACACCAAAGTACTACAGTTTCAACCTAGCCTAGGTGACTATTCAACCAGCGATGGTGCGAGATCGAGAAGTTAACGACTGAACTAGTAAACTGATTCACACAACAGACAACGATAACAAACACACAAACATTGATGATGTAGAAGATGAAAATGTCGAAGATGTTGATCTTGAAATACGAAGTTGAGGATGGATGTAGAATGTTGTTCTCGATGATGGCGAAAGATGTGAAGCGATGAAGTAGAAGCGCCATAACTCCCCCAGAGAAGAATTGTACGATGAAACTTGTAGAATCAAAACACGCCAAAGAACCCGTCAGGGAGATGAGAGTCCTTCTGGGCCATTGGAGGTGTCGCGTTCGCCGAAGCCTCAGGCAGGGTCTCCCTTATAGCGTTGAAAGAGAATCCGAAAGTGGATGGCTCGGGTCCCTGGTGCTGGGCTAGGTGGGCGCTCCCAAAGTTGTTGGAAGCCTGCGGTCTCTGTGGTTGCGCTACGTGGGCGCTCCCGATGTTGGAGACGTTCGCTTGGCCAGCAGATTGAAGCAGCGCCAGGTTTGCAGCCAACCCTTTTAGCTCTTTTTGCTTTTGGCATTCATCGTCACCGTGTGTAGTGGTGTTGTGGTATGAGCACCATTGGGCTGTCCGTCACCACTGCCTTTCTTGCCTTTCTTCCACTTCTTTTTGTTGGTTTGGTTTCCGCCGGTCTTGCAGTGTCTGCACTCCATGCAGCAAGAGCCCGTTCTTGCGTCAGACACCCCCATTGCCATTCCGCGCCCTGAAATATTAGGCGTTACATTCTCATGTCTATGTTATAAGCGATGGCAGTCTTTTTCAGCGATTCGATATCGAGAGAGTCATCCTCGGAGTGTCGGTGTCTCATGCACGCGAATTTCTTCGGCAGGGCGTATAGAAGCAAGGACTCGTACACTTCATCAGAGATCTCCTCCCCCAGTTCTTGGAGACGGTCGCGCAGGCGGTCGGTGTTCGCGAAGAAGTCCTCCGGGTCGACGTGTTCGTCCATTGTGAACACCCCGAGTGTCTGAGAGACTCGACGCGCAGAAACGGTGCCGTAAGTTTGGAACATTTCAGTATCCGCTCAGACTGTATGCTGTGCTCTGAGAAGGCACAGGCTCAACCGACCACAGACGGCTAGACTGCGGTTGTGTGACGTCGAAGTTGCCAGCTCCGGCCACGTCTTGCAGGCACACTGGTCAGATGTACTGCTCCGACTATTATACTGCTACGTGAGTGCAGTGTAAATCCTCAATCTGCACACGTACCAGAAACCGTATACGTGAAATATATCTTGGACCAACCACGCCTGGGCGTAGTTGTTGTGACGTCGGCACGTAGAATGTGCGTCTGTATGGCTTGTCAAGGGTATCTCAGACGATATCCACGACAGGATATGAGCCTCGACTGTGAGTGAGTGGAGGCCTGCGGCGACTGCGACTCCTGCTGCTGCTGTCGTCGAGTGCTGTGGCGTGCATACACACATCGTCTTCTACGATTCTATGGGGAGATCCTTCTGCTGGAGTTAGCTTCTGCTGGAGGTTCTGCGCTGAGTCAACCCGCTTGCTTACTGGGCCCAGACTGATCACCTGGCGTTCGCTGCTGCACATTCGGTACGCTACTGTTCGTGTAGAGCATTCGGGGGCATAATTTCTAGGCGTTGATTCCGGTCGGCGAATAGAGTTGTGCAAACAGTTTGTTACGGTTGGCCGTGTGCAGAGTGCCTTTCACAAGGTCCTGCGTGTGTCACCAACAACCAAATTGGTAGGTCTATTCAATATATCTTTCACGTGCAGAGTGCAGCCTCAGTACGTGACTAGGTTGAGGATCTGACCTAGGCTGGCCAGCATCCATTGTTGCAGTCACACCCATACAGACGCACATTCTACGTGCCGACGTCACAACAACTACGCCCAGGCGTGGTTGGTCCAACATATATTTCACGTATACGGTTTCTGGTACGTGTGCAGATTGAGGATTTACACTGCACTTCCCAACAAGAAGAGCGTTACATTTTCCTCACACGGCAGTTTTCTTTGTCCGGACCGAGATTACGGGTGGTTGGTGTGTCCACGAGGGACGGTGGGGTTGCGTCTCTCCACTGCTGTCATCCTAAATTGTACACAGAGTCCGTACGGCGGATAGGGCGCCGCCATGCACGTGCAGGATATGCCCTCCCCTCTTTAGACAGTACCATGTATGTAGTATGCATTAACTACAACCAAAGAGCGTACAATCTCTCTATTGTACCCGTTCGAGATACAGTCTGACCCAGACGAGTGGAATGAGATACTTGTATGGGTTTGGTTATTTCTCCGTGTTACGGTACTACTGCTGCTGTTGTTGTTGTTGTGGCTGGGCGATTCCACAACGATTTTGCGAGGTCACGATCTTGTACCTGTGTGCATGGGGAGAGCAACCCTCTTTCTTTGTCTTTGTACCGGCAGGTGTTTGTTGTTTCCCCGTCGTTCCCATGTCTCAACATTATTCAAAGTCTGGACGTCTTGGTCGAGAATCGGAGGACAATGCCAGTGCAGCGCATGACATATCAATACAGCAGTTTAGCGCTTTGCCACTATATATATAGAACGTTGTTGTATCCTGCATCAAGCGACGAACGAGGCACCTATGCAAACTTTTTGGTCGGTTCAGGGGTAGTTTACTGGAGGGCTGTAAACATAAATACGTACATGGACGGTCTCTTTGCTCGCCGAGGGCTGGTCGCATCGGAACACGAATGTGTGGATTGACGGTTTCGGGGTTTCTATACACCCTGCGACGGCGTTGATGTGTTTCGCTGCGTCGTGATTGGCCCACGTTTTTCCGATCTCGTTCTCCTCCAGCGTTGCTGGAAGACCAGGAGCGCGGCAGACTTTCTATCTCACACCTGCACGCCCAACCTTGACTATCTGATCAAGGCAGCAACCCCGGACACCATGTTCAATTTCTTGAAGAGCGCAGGCTTGGCACTGCTGGTGGTGGCCACCCGATCATTGGCAGCGGATGTGAGCAAAAGCGTGCGACACCAGGCGTTGCTTTGTGTTGTACGGACGGTAGAGCAGTGCTGCTGCTGCTGAGAGCGGGATTGTTCCTGATCCACGTAGCGCGCGGAAGCAAGTGTGCACGCGCACGCGTAGCAGTGGTTTCGCTCGCTGGCAAGTCTTGTGCCCAGCCCATGTGCTGTAGGTGCTGTCGTGCCGATGGGCATATACCCGTGGGGAACGAACCAAAGAAGTGCAAAGTTAAAATACCGGTGTTGTTCTGTTTGTGTCCGTTTTTGGTTGCGATCGACAATGTCGGAGAGAATCTGCTGTGTGTGGGTGGCGTGTGTTGTAGGGGGGAGCGTTTCAAGGAAGGACATGTCCTTACGCATATGCATACCCCTTTGCTTTGCTCAAGCAAAAACCACGGATTCGATGTCCCGTGTGTGTGGGAAGCAGGAGGCAGGAGGGAAAGTTCCACGTATGTATGTGGAGAGATTGCGTGAACGCGTGAACCAACGCCTCTGGTGGACGGACCACAAGATAGAAAGAGACAGCTGGTTGGTTCTCCCAGTAGATACTGCACGACTCCGTGCCGGCGCTCAAGGGTGTGTGTTTGCTGAACGATTTCCTAGCGAAGGCTTGTAGTAGGCAGAAGGATAATTCCTGCGGCCTCTGGAATTGTGTGCAACCAACCCCAACTCTGCGCGGCCGACGACGAGAAACCAGAAGAAAATCCAAAAAATCCTCCGCTGCCCCAAGCTGCCCTGTCGTAAATCTTGTCTGTGGAGTGCTTTACTCCAGGGGCACGTGTAATGGTGGTACATTATAGCAGTATCGTGGGAGAGGCTCATCCCCCCCCAACTTTTTTATCCGCCGGAAGCGCATGGTCGCTCGTCGGTAGCAGATTGCCGGGGAAGCGTCTGCGCCGTTGTTTGCGTTCAAGTTGACCGACCTGCTGCTGCTGCTGCTGCCTGATCTCTTCAATATTTGACGACTTGTTGTTGACAAGATGGTCTTGTGCGTTTCAGAAGATTGATTCTGTCGGTGTGTGTTGTATAATTGATTGACATGAAGTTAGGGTGTGGTTGGTCTTGTGGTCTTGCGTTCCGAAAGATTCGTCGTGTACGTACAAGTATGGTGTCGTTAGGAAAAATAAATACAACCACGGAACGACTATCCATTCGAGATGTTGTGTAACATCAGTCGAACGGGATGTGTTGGAGTCTTTGCTGTGAGTGGAGGGAAACCGGCTGGGTACTTGGCTTTTTTCGAGTCTATTTAAGCCTATATTTATACACTGAAACTTTATCAGTGATGCCAGCAGCAGGTGCTAGTCACAAAAACACTGACTGTAAAGGTACATATACCACAAGACATCTCCCCCGTAGTTTCCTCTCTTGGGTTGACGTGAAGTTTGCACCAACCATCTGAATCTCAAATACGCGTATATGTACATATCATACAGTACCCACCTACGGCCTCGGCCCAACTCTTCTCGTTGCATGTTCACATGTTTATTTTTTGGCGCCTATTCTTGTAAGCCCTGCTGTATTCATCAAGCGCATTCGCTAACTCTACTGCTGTACCCCTTTTTGTCTGCGCTGCTCCGTTCTTGCGTCCTTCCTTCCCCCGCTGGATGACGTCACCCCCGCGTTGCCTTGTCGTGTCGGCTGCTCTTCTGCCCACGCTCCCTCGTGCATGGAATCGGATTGGGCTGGTTCTCCAGATCGCTACCGAGGATGGTGTCCTAGTGCTGGACCCCTCCAACTTTGCCGACGCCGTCGCACAGGTGGGTGCCGAACTTGCGGTGACATCGCTGCTCTTTTTAGTCCGCATAGCATGAACGGTTCGGAGTAAGGAGTGTATCTACTGATGTACCGTTTGCGCCCGCACTTTAGAATCTCTGTCGTAGTTTCGGGCGAGGGTGGGGTTCTTAGTGCCCCAAGGTTATGCTACACACGGCCGCTACATTGTAGGTCTTTTCTTGACCGAGCTCGCAAATTGTGCACTGTATCACAAATACATTTTGAGTTTTTCGAGGCTGTATCAATTTGTGGACTGCCAAGGTTGCTATGTTCGGGGGCGCTGTTGTAACTGTTGTACACTACAATACAACAATGCAAAGAAGAAAAGAGTAAAACATGCACACCGAGTGTGACGCAATACTCCGCACATGGTGTGACATTTGGGCCACAAATTGCGCTGGTGGTAGGTACATGTGTAACGACGTGTGTGAAGTGTGGCGTGTAACGGCTCCAAGGGCCCTTCCTTGTCTCGTGGCGCCCTGTTCGCTGTTGTTGTGGATCTTTTTCTAACGAGGGTGCTGCTCACAAAGAGTTGGAAACTTCGACTTTGACAATTGTGTTGGAGTCAATTGCAGAAGCCATGACTAGCGAAGCGTCCATCTCTGGAGCAGTTGTGCGTTGGACCGTTTTGGATGACACACTTGAACGGAGGCATATGCCGCAAGGCTGCAACACACCTCTCTTGCTAGCGACAACAAAGTCCGTCATGTCCTGCAACACTCTATCGACTATCCGCGCTCCGCCGCGTGTCTGCTGCACTGCTGTATGTATGGAAAACAGTTAGTAACAAGGGGTCGCACACCACGACCAGTGGGGGAAGATTTTTGATGTGAATGTCTGAAAAATATAAACGCAATAATACTTAAATGATAGTATGCTACGGCTGTGTTGTAGTAGGACCGGTGGCTCATCTCAGAAGCAACGCGGCTTGATTGGAATATAACGATGAAGAGCACCCCCGCCCACCTTACCGTCGAATCATTGCCGCCGCTCTTTCCCAACCGTGCTGCTGATGCTGCTGTAGAACCCTACTCTTCTGGTGGAGTTCTACGCTCCGTGGTGCGGGCACTGCAAGAAGCTGGCACCGGAGTACGCCAAGGCCGCCGAGGCTCTGGCCAAGGAGGACCTCAAGATAGCAAAGGTACGTATGTCCATACCCTTTTTTTCCTCTGAAGATTGTTTACCAAAGTGCTTGCTTGCTCGTGATGCAATTTATTGTAGTCCTTTTTTAGGAAATACACATACAATCATAGATTGTACTTGTTGCTGAGTGGTGCGTTTTTGTTTTATTTTGGTCGTGCCTGGGCCTATCTAAGCTGTACGCCAAGTCTTCCCGAAAAAGTTGCCGGTACTGAGGGCCGGTGTCAAAGTTCACCGCACGCACACTTGCTACAAACTGTAGGATGTTGGGAGCCACGTGTGTTCGGACTCCCAAGGATTGACTTTGTGACATCAAACATACATGTCCTTTGAACCGAACAACCTAAGGTGGACTGCGACGCGCACAAGGACCTCGCCAAGGAGTACGGCGTTGGCGGATTCCCCACCCTGAAGCTCCTCAAGGAAGGCAAGCCATCTGACTACCAGGGCGGCCGCACTGCCGACGACATCATCAAGTACGTCATCAAGAAGTCGGGTCCCGCCGCCAAGGTACGGAAAGCGAGCGGCCCCGTGGATGGTGTTGATCTCCAAGCTTTTTTTTTGTTTTGTTTGGCGAAGGTTATTGCGCTACCCCAAAGAACAGTCAGCTGGCACACGCACGCACGGTTGTTGTGCTTTGTCCCGTAGATGCTCTGTAGAGAATCGCGGATACCGCTCTCTAGTTGTTTGCGGCCCCTCGCCCGAGACAAGAGTAGCAAGGATGCCTGCACAAGTCTTACAGGGTTTCCACACCTCACCGACCCCGACCCCTCTGACCCCTCTTCTGTTTTTATATTTGCTGAGTGCTTTCAATAACCATTTTTCAACACCGCACATTCCGCGTGCTAATTTTGCCACACACATGTCAAAGGTCTAACGACTATGCCATGCACGGCTATTAGTACAACTCCCCCCCCCACACACACACAAACACACTGCTCTTCTCCCTTGTCGGCGTGTACTGTGCGCGTACTTGCAGACCCTGACCACCAAGGCTGAGGCAACGGCGTTCGAGGGAGAGGACGAGGCGGTAGTGCTCGGGCTGTTCTCGTCCGCAGACTCCCCCGAGGCGAAGACCTTCATGTCCGTGGCCAACGGCATCGACAGGCTTCCGTTCGCCACGTCTTCCACGAAGGAGGTTCTCAAGGCCTACGGTGCGGGCAAGGGCGGCAAGGTGGTGATCATGAAGACCTTCGACGAGAAGAAGGCGGTGCTGGACGTTTCCTCTTCGACGACCGAGGTGTGCACGGTGACGCTGGTGCTGTTGTGTGCGGTGGCGGGAGGACGCGTCTTGCCTGGCTTGTCTTGGATGCTGAGGGTTGCACTCTTCTACTAAAATATGTACATGTTGCGTCATTTGTACGTTGGTGGATGTATGATATAGCTCTTTTTATTGTTTTTGTTAATGTACCACGACAATGCATCTCTATCCGCAGATAAGAATCCGAGATTGTGATACATTTGCGATTAATCCATGGCGTATTTGAATCGCCGTCCTTGCAGGAAGAAATAGCGGACTGGGTCAATGGAGGCGTTGCACGCGATGGTCTGCATGTTTAACTATATTTGCGTAAAACTTGTCTTTTGATGTGCTACGTAATTTTAATCGCCACCATCCCGTGCAGGAAGAACTGGCTGCTGTTTTATCATTCGTATATAGTTGATGTTGTTGCGCTATTTGAGTCGCCGTCCGTGCAGGAAGTACGTTACACACCACTATCTACTATCTTGGCATGTTATATCATTTGTAGTTTAACGTTTCGTTGCGCTATTTGAATGGCCACCGTCCCCTGCAGGAAGAAATGGTGGACTGGATCGAGGGCGCCTCGATGCGCCTGGTCACCACCTTCTCCCCGGAGACCTCCTCGGCAATCTTCGGCGGCAAGGTCAAGGTACACATGCTCTACATGGCCGATGCCAGCAGCAGCACCTTCGAGGCCGAGAGCGCCGCCCTCACCAAGGCCGCCTCCACCAACCGCGGGAAGCTGCTCCACGTGCACGTGCCCCACACCGAGGACCGCGTGCTCCAGTACTTCGGCGCCAAGGCCGACAACCTCCCCATGGTCGTCATCGCCGACATGACCTCCAACAGCGCCATCAAGAAGTACATGTAAGTTTTTTTTTTTTTTGTGGTGCTCGAATGAGCTGAATTGGGCCCCCGTGGTCATCCCATGTGGGTGGGATCCCAGAGGAGTACGGTTGGTGTGCTCCCTACGTCTCCATCAGCGGCAGCACCGCAATCTAGCAGTCGACGATAGTTTCTTACCCCCACCGCAGCTATTGTACAGCAGCCAAAAACGAGCCAAGACATGAACAAAGAAACAACTGAGAGAATTGATCGATCAACGGTATTTGTGCGACCTTTGTGTTTGTTGTTGTTGAGGTACCCCGACAACAACAGTCAACACCCAAGGCATGGAAGAGAAAGATAAAGAACGAGAGAGAAATTGATCAACCCACGATTCTTTCGATTTTTGTGCAAAACCTTTTTTGCATTGTTGTTGATCAGGTACCCGGACAAGATCACGGAGGCCGGGCTCTTGGGCTTCGAGAAGAAGTTCTTCGACGGAGAACTGGTCCCCACCCTCAAGTCCGAGGAGCCCGCGGACGAGGACCTCGCGGAACCGGTGAAGGTTCTCAAGGGGAAGAGCTTCTCCAAGCTGGTGCTCGAGAACGGTGAGGTTTAGTGGCGAATGCGTAATTTTAATTTTTCGAGATTTTCGCGTTGTAGCGGGGTTGTCGCTTGTTGGAGACAGCGAGTTTCTCTTTTGCGGGGAACCCTCTTTTTTTTTTGCGGCGAACGTGCTCGAGCGGTAGAATCCAACAGGTACAGGGTTGACTGTAGAAAATCACTTGGCGTCGATGCTGGACGCCTTCGTGATATTGTCGAGACCTCGTCCTGCGTTTCTTGAAGCGAATATTATTTTAGACTGAGGGGCCGATTGTTCTGCCTTTGTGTGGGCGGAGGGTGCCTTCCTTGCAGCCACAAGGGAGACGATAGCCTCGACTTGAGCAAATGGTCTCGAGAGGAAGGATTGGATTTTTTACCATAACCAAAAGGAACCGGATCGATCCATGTGCCGCGTCGTGTGACTGACCGCGTTTGCTTCTCTCTCCCAAATTGCTTGCACCACACAACAATGTCGGCGGCGATGCAGACAAGGACGTGTTGGTGGAGTTCTACGCACCGTGGTGCGGGCACTGCAAGGCACTCGCGCCTAAGTACGACGAGCTTGCGAGCAAGCTGGAGGGGGTTGACTCGGTGATGGTGGCCAAGATGGACGCAACCGAGAACGAGATCGATGTGGACGGGGTGAGCGGGACAACAAGACAGCAAAGAGTTCTCTGTAATTATTTTGTGTTGACCTATCGCGCACGCAGCGCCCAATCTTTCAGTCAAGAAGCATCACTCGCGGGGGGGCCTTTGACGTTCCTGACGGCAGCATGAACTCCATGGGGTTGGGTGTCTCTCGTGCTTGGCGGCGTTGCCGCTCTGGGAACAGATTCTGCTTGGTTTTTCATGTACTGGGGAGGATGATGACTCGATTTTCTTGGGACAGGGCGTCATGCCGTTGCCCCGTGCAGTTTGATCCTTTCTTTACATGAGGACAAGTCGGTCATTGTCTTGTGCTCAAGTAACAGAGAATGCCAAGAGAGGTTCGAACTAAGAATTATCGGTCTAACGGTAATGTGCCGGTGGCGGCCTTTGACCAGATAGTACCACGCGTTCGACCTCCTATCGCTGTCAGGGAGATGAAGAAAGAGCAAGCGGTGAATATCTGGCTTGCTGTAGCACCGTGAAACCGCCGTAAAAACCCTAACCTAACCTGTGTCGCTTCCTTCCTTTCCTTTCTTCGTGTCTTCGTGCGTCAGGTTGAAGTGGCCGGGTTCCCTACCCTCTTCTTTTTCCCGGGCAAGGACAAGTCCTCCCCGAAGAAGTACGAGGGCGCACGCGAGACCGAGGACATGGCCAAGTACATCATGGACAACGTAAGAGTCTGGTGTATTGGTGTGTTTTTTTTCTCTGGTTGCGTTGGACATGAAAGATCATCCAACGATTCGGCAAATGCTTTGAAGGCGTTTACGCATTTCAGGTTCAAGTCCTCAGACCGGAGGCATGATGAAGTTCCCGCAGCGGTGTAGCATACAAGCCTCCCTGCAAGATCCCTACGCCAACATCCCGGAGGGTATAAGTTCTCCACTCGGTACACATACCCTTGGTTGTGGCTGAATAACCGTTCTTACGTGTTGCTGCCCTTGTTCCCGCAGGCGTCGACCCCCTTCAAGCTGGAAGGTGTGGAGTCGGAGGACGTGAAGGACGAGCTCTGATTCAAGCCATGCAGACGAGACGACAGCAGCACCGCTCGGTGGCTCTAACTATTGATTTTTTGATTGCGAGTTAGCGGAGAGCAACCGGGCGCGAAAGCAGATATTAGGTAGTTGAACTTGGGCTATTTAGAACTGGCTGGGTGATGTTGTTGACGCACACACGCGGCGCGCGCACTCATTGAGGGTGGTTGTGTGTAAATATAGCGCCGGCGGCTGCTGTCGTTGTGGTTCGACAACGCGAGTGGGACACGTGACGTGGTGCGCACCTCTGTTGCTGACAGCGGCAGAGTGGGCGAGCCCGAGAAATTTGTAGGCTACCTGCCTAGGATGACTAGTCGTATACTTACATGTTTCTTTTTTGAGTCAAGGTAAGCGGGCTAGGTTGCCGCAAGCAGGTGGTTGAGAACCTATGTTCCATGTCGGTCGGGTGTGACATGTCGTGATGGTCTTGTCTATCCCTCTCGGTGCAAGTGCCTTGGCGTGGATTGCTCCGTACTTGGGCGGACTGCGAGCCACCCTGTCGCTTGAGCTGTGAGTCTCTGTTTTGTTTCTGTGCAAGTTGAATGTGTTTTTTTGTTTGTCTTTGGTCAAAAGAGGTATCTTAGATGACGCCCATCCTTGACGGGGGGCGAGGAGACGCAAAAGTTTGTTGGTGCTGTTAAGGCTGAATTGAAAAGATAAGCTCTTTTGGTGTGGGGGGTCCTGGGTGTTGCAGTTTTTTGGTTTTCCAACTTCTGCGGTGACCTTGACGTGAAAAATATGAAAAGATGGTATAAAAAATGATGCCTTTGTTTATCATTCTTGCTGTTAACCATGCGACCCTACCAAGGACGAGACTAGATGACCGCCAACACGTCGCACTTTTTTCTCTCGCTGGAATTCGCAAATACGGTTGAGGCAGAGAAATCAATCAATCGTGGACGTGCAGGATGACACAACAATCGTTCGTGAAACGTGGTCGGGTTGAGTCCATTCCTTCATGGGGGGGTCGCCGAGCTTGCAGGGCGAGGGGTCCGTCGAGATGCACTGAGGAATGAGGAGCGCCATCAGATGGCCCCATCGAGTTGTAGGGCGAGGAGGTGCTACGTTGTGACCCTCGCTGCCGCCACACTCCTTTCCAATCAGTTGTTCTTGTCTACACGCAAAATTACACCTCGACACCTAATACCTGTCTTTCCTAGCATACGCTGCCCGAGAATACATCCGACCCCCGCCACTCAACCTGTTGTATCGATTGGAATAATGATGTTGTTCACTCCCCATGGTTCTGTTTTTTTTGGCGAGACGGTCAGTGCCACTGATGCACCGTGGCGAAACAATCCGCGACGCGTACAGTACGTGCACACACGAGTGAGGAGTCTGGTGCATCGGTCAGCGCTGCAGTCCACGCCTGTTCCCCGTGAAGAAGTGCGCTCTCTTCTTTGGTCTTCACCTCGTCCGCGACCCCCTTGCTTGTTCCTTGCTTGGTGTGGGGGAGCTCGATGAATCGAACGCGTTTTTCGCATTTTTGGTCATCATCCTGCTACGTGCGCTGCTCGGACTGACGTTTTACGCACTACATACCAAACAATCCTCCTGAGCTGGTATTTTGGTGATCGGTCGTTAACTCAACACATCAATCTATATATCTTCCGCAGGCTCAAGCTGGACGTCCGTTTTCCGCTTCAGTATTATTTCTCGCAATTCGCGTGTAGTGCGTGTGTTTCGTTCGTCTGTCTCGTCTTTGTTTGGTTGTCGGCTTGCCAAAAAAAAGTGTGGGCCGCTTTTTTTGTGCTTACGTTCCGTTGTTGCCCCCCTCTATGCTTCCTCACGACCATCATGGAATGACAGACAGACAAGACAGACAGACAGACAGACAGACAGACAGGCATGTTTTCCTCTGGAAACCGAGGTTGGTTATCGCTAGGCAGGGCGTACTAACGCGCAGAGAGAAATTAGTAAACAAAAGCAAACAACGAAGAGCAAAAGAAGTACTAAAATTAAATATGTATACGTACACAGACAGGTCAGTCAATCATCAAGTCTCTCTTCTCCTCTTCCACCTCTTGCCGAGAAGAAACAACACCAACTACATGTACCTCTCCCTCTCTTTCGTTTTATTAGCTAACCCTAAAGGTTCGAGCGGATGACAACAAGGAAATCCGAAAAAAGACACATACGATAGAGTTCTCCAGCTGCTTCCTTATATTTCTTTCGACGCTTGGTGGCCGAGCCCGTATCGGCAGCATCGATGGGCCGACTGACGCCTGGACCTTGATGTCGTGTGCACGGACCTGTAGGGTTTTACAAAGATCTTCAAGATGGGTTGATTGGCGTACACGCGGAGGACAGACCGGTCATCAACAGCGGCGGTGGCGGTTCGGTAGGTTGCATTTACACATGTGTTTGCTTTTTTTTCCTTCCCCCTTTCTTCGCGGCCAGGCCAACCCCACTGAAGACACATTGTCCTTCCTCGTTAGTGCGGTGTGTCTAATGCCACCCCCCTCCCCCGGTTGCAGTAGTGGACCAGTACACATCCCTCGGAGTAGAGATCGCAAAAGACTGCTCGTGGAATGCACACATGTCCAAGGTAGTAGCGGAAAAGGGCAAAGCACGAGCAGGGAAGCTGCACCCAATACTCGCAAACCGGCACCTCAATACACGCATCAAATTGGCGATTTTGAACAGCGTAGTCGCACCGCCGCTAGAGTACGCCGGAGAAGTATGGGAAAGAAATAATAAGGTAGTCAAAGAGCTCGAGGCGGCGCAGATGAAAGCAGCGAAAGCCATCCTAGCGCACATGTAATGAAGCCGTGTGGGCAGACTGGGGATCCAATCCCTACGATCGGGACGAGACGCAAGAAAGCTGACATGGCAGTATCGCATGTGTGGTATGGGAGAGGAGAGGTTGCCGAGAATAGCCTGGGAGGCGAAGTGGGAAAACAAGAAGAGGGGTAGACAACTCATGGAGTGGGTCAAGGTTGTAGGTGACGTACGGAAAGGGTTCGAAATTGACGAAGACGATACGCTGGATACGGAGGGTCCAAAAGGGTTCAGGAGAAGATATCTTTTGCTTTTGCCGAGAGCAAAGGACAGAATCTAAGAAAAGAACCCAAGGATAAGGAGGGCATAGAGGTGTACGGAATGTTGAAAGAAGGAATAGGGTTCAAGGAGTACCTTCATGGACCAGTGGATGCAGGGGCAAAGCTGAAGGTCAAATTCAGGACAGGGGACATTGGCCTTCGAGAACATAGCCGAAGACTTCGGAAGGTAGACGATGAAGACGCCAAGTTCAAATGTGATTGCGGCTCCGAGTGCGAAGACCGTGTTCATGTAGTCGCGGAATGTTGGCTGTACAAGAAGGAGGGGGAAGTGTACATGACTGAGCTGGGAAAAGTAGAAGAAAAGTACCGGGAGATGTTTGAGGCATGGGATAGCCAGGAGAAGACGTTGCAATAGCTGTACTGGGGTATAGGAAGTGGGTTGGATAGGCGGGAAGTGGTATCGGTAGGATAGATAGACTAGGGAAGACATTTTGAACCACCGTTGTCAAAGTAGGAAGGGACGATTGGCCATCGGTGATCGGTCCTGTGGAAACCATTCTCTGTCCTCTCGAGGAAGCGTGGTCAATGGTCTAATCGCTAAGGCATGCAAAACATAAGAGTACCCCCCCCCCCCCCCGTGTCGTGTTTTTGTGTGTCGTGTTCGACCACACCAGCAGCTTGTCCTTGCTATACATCTTTTAACACGTCCGTGTACCAAAAAGCCTAATTTTATTTACCCGTCTGTCATATCCATCTCTTTCTCGACCGCATCCTCACTTTCGTGCACGGCAGGACGAGACGAGTAGCACCGCTTGATTGGCTGGAACGCCGAAGAGCATTCCTATGTCCCCGCGTGTCTTTAGGATGGGCCGGATTGAATGGAGAATCAGGACAACGACGTCGTATCAGCACCGTCAACACCAGCGCTTCCAAAGACTACTGTAGTCGGTCGTGGATTGGTGTCGGTTCCGTTGCTGCCTCCTACTTGAGTGCTGCTGCTGTTGTTGGGGTCTTTACTTGGCGAACAAAGGCGGTGCCAAACTGTTCACCATACATACATGTCATACGTGACGCGCGCGAGCATCCGCACACCAACGCTTGCGAATCACAGACTCACTGGTTCGCTGCTGTGTTGGTGCACGCCCTCGTCAAACAACACACAAAAGAAAAACCAGGAGTATCGAGGCAATCACGCTCCGGCAAGGGATGATGATCTGCGATGGGATTTGGGGCATTCATTGTGGATCTCGCCCCCGACCATATTTTGTACTTCAGGTGAACGTGGTCAGCAGTATTCTCTCTCCTTTGGATTCGCTCAAGCTCACATTGGTTGGAGCTTTGTTCGTTTCGCTCGCTCGCTGGTGGGTGGCAGCTGACAAACATGTCCCCACGGGATACTCTCTCCTTTGGATTCGGAGCTTTGTTCGTTTCGCTCGCTCGCTGGTGGGTGGCAGCTGACAAACATGTCCCCACGGGATACTCTCTCCTTTGGATTCGCTCAAGCTCGCATTGGTTGGAGCTTTGTTCGTTTCGCTCGCTGGTGGGTGGCAGCTGACAAACATGTCCCCACGGGATATCTCAACAATGAACTAACGGAAATGTACATGCTTCACGCATCTTCCGTGGATCCTGACAGAATTCGTGGATCCTGGCCATGCAGCGCGGATATGGGTTCTTTCCAAGGTTTCATGAACAGCAGATCTATCTGCCCACTTAGCACGTATCCTGGACTGCCATAGATGATAACAACATAATGCAGTAGAGCAAATGTTACATACGTACAGTATTCCTATGACCAGGGTGGTGCAGTTGTTGTAAGCGCCTCCGACGACATATATGCGTGCAACATGTGCAGTTGTTGTAAGCGCCTCCGACGACATATATGCGTGCAACATGTACGTGCTGTGAGACATCATCTAAATTACTGCTGTAATTCTCACAGCAGCAGGATGTACAGTCACCGACCTGGAGGGGGAGAGAGGGAGAGCGGTGTAAGAGAAGAGGGAGAGAAACGAGAGACAAAGATACGACGACAATATGCTCACCGATCGGCGCTGGTTGTCGCTATGGGCTCCTGCCAAGCCACAAGTGTCCCCCTCCTTCACCGTTCCCTTGCAATTATCCACCCAAGAGGCGGAGAGACGGCCACGGGGGACCCGCACACAGGATCATGGTACGCCGAATAACGCGGAACCCCCTTTTTTTTTTAGCATGCGCAGCTGTGCATACACCAGCAGCTGATACCTTTGTACCCACGTCAGACGAAAACAGTGAGATAGAGAGAGAGGGAGCACCCACACAGACACACACAGCTGTTCTTCTCTCTCTTCTCGGTGGTTATTTTGTTTCATACGACATGTTCGTCATGAGAGCGGTGGTGGCGGCAGCGCTTGTGTTGTTGGGGGTGGTGGATGCGTTCGTCAGCCCATCTGCTTTCGTGAGGGCAACAGGAAGCAACAGGGTATGTGCTTCGGCAACAGCACGGGCAGCGGGTGCGATGCGCAGCAGGCCGACTATGAACGTGATCGATGTGAGAGGAGAGAAAATTAGTTGTGTGCGTGGTTGAGTGCGTGGGCGAGAGCTTGAGCCTCTCCAACACACCACCCAGCGAGCGATTTGAACACCGGAAAAATACAAAAATACCGATCTTGGTCATCAACAACAACCCGCCGCGTCGCCGGTTCAATTTTCGATGATTTTGTGTCTTGAACTGCGGTGCTCTGTCATATAGGCACTCGTTCACAACAGGATAAGCTTGGCTTGACGAGCGATACGCAGTGGCTTGGCGCTGCCGA